CCCGCCGCGCCGCCTCCTGCCGCATCCCCCTCACGCGCGCCGCGGCGCCCTCATAGCACCGCCCGCGGCTGCCCTCGGCGCCGGCCGGGTCCGCCCGGGCTGCCTGCCCCAGCCCCAGTCCGGCGCGGGGACCCGGGAGTCTCCGCAGGCTGGCTGGCGGACGGGCCGGGGGGTCCCCGTGCGCCTGTGCGCAGAGCGCCGTGCATGCCGGGACTTGTAGTTTCGCGCCCCTGCCCACCTTTTCTCTGTCCAAAGTTTGCAAGGGCAGTGGAGTTGGAGGTGGGAGAAAGCCGCGTCACCAGCAGTTTTGCACTTTAGCGTTCGAGAAAGGGAAACGTTTTCCTGTTTTAAAAATGGCAAAGTGGAGCCGAGCATATAACAGCAAATGAAGTGAGTATCTGTTTCCCATGGTATTTTGACTGACTGTGAGACATCACTGTTCTGAATTCATGGAAGGGAGACTATGCTAGCAGGTATGTGGCTCTTAAAACCGTATAAGGTCATTTGATTAATGGTGAGGTGCATGGCTAACCGTGGGGCGTAGGGATTGACAGCAGATTTTGAATCAGGGATAGCCTGCCTTCCAGGAGTCTGATTCTTAACTTTCACCAAACCCAATGGGTAACCAGAAGCCAGTATAGATAGTGGCCCAACCTAACTGAGACAGCTTTCTTGTATGGCTTAGATTCCAGTCTCATATCTATTCCCATTTTCCTTCCGCCACCAGCAGACCAAGGAGCATCAGCTATGGCAGGCCTGGAGTGTCTTGCACAGCAGCATCCCGTTGTCATCAGTTGGCTCTATGAAATGGATTGTGGCTTTCTTCAGTCTCTATCCTCGGAAAAAGATAAGTGATTGTAGTTAGATTTTATCATTATATATCAAGTAAAAACAATATTGTTGGCTGCTAAGGGCTTTGGGTCAAACAGATATGAGTTCCTATATCAGAATTCCACATGCCTATTACATAACCTTAGGAAAATCGCTTAACCTCTCTAAGTCTTGGTTTCCTCATCTCTAATAGAGAAATACATTGCCTGATAGACAGTATGGAAAGAAAATTATTTGTTAAATTACCAATAATAAAATTATATATAAACTTTCATGTAGTACATTGCTGCATTCATTTACTAAAAATATGATTATAGTTAACATAATAAATAAAATCCTATTCCTACAACAGATTTACTTAGCTGATAAATGAAAGAACTTCTCTGAAATTGGATATTTTGCATATGTTGATTATAGTCACAAGATGTCCTAAATATGGCTCTAAGCATCTTGCTGGTCAGCTGAACCAAAGAAAAATGGTTTGAGGCATGTCTTGGCTGAATGAACATGAAATCTTTAATTAATTGTGAGTTTAGCCTCTGCTCATTAGGTCAGGCAGCTCTAGCCAATTAATAAGTAAAGGCATTATGTGCTTTAAACCAACTGTGATATACCTGTAATGTCAATATAATATTTTTACAAACTGAAATTATTTCCACTTTGAGATTTTTTTAAAAGCACAGCACAATTTTTATATGTATAAATAATAGTGAGACATTAAGGTCACTATATGACTTATAGCAGCACTATTTCTGGTAACTTCTAGAACTGCACTGTTCAATACAGTAGCCCCTAGTCACAAGTGCTTGTTGAAATTTAAATTAATTAAAATTCAAAATTTTAGATCCTCAGTCGCCCAGATCATGTTTTAAGAGTTTAAGAACCATGTGTGGCTAAGGGCTACTATATTGGACAGCACAGATATAGAATATTGCTATCCTCTCAGAAAGTTCTACTGGACAGCATTAGTTTTCAAGAACTCTAGTAGAAAACCCCAATACGATGCCAGCTCCTGCCTTCAATCCCAGTTTCAATTTCAGTTCAAAAGGGAAATCCCTGCTTCTTCACAAAAGACAGCATACCCTGCCAGAGCATGGTCCAATAATGTTTATAAACTGGTGGTTTCTCCACATATTTCCTGTTCTCCTATGAACTCTCCCTTCATTCAGGAAGCAGCTGGTGCATTTTCTGCTTTCTACCCCAGGGAAGAGATGATAGTGCAGAAACAAGAGCTTCAGAAACACATGTGAGAGGATAGAGTTTTTAAAGAAGTTTCAAAAATATGGGCTTTGGAGCTCTAATACAAACCTATGTCATAAATAGTAGATTATAAAGGATATACTGCCCTACTTAATCTAGATTTTTTAAAACCCCATGGTTTGTGGGGTATAGAAAGTGATGGGGGGGAGTAGAAGCAGGTAGAGAGAGAGGAAATGTAGATGATGCATGTGTAGATCCTATTAATGTCCCAAGACTTCACTGCCAAGCCCTTTGGAAAGGGATTGTACTTTACCTTACTATTAAGGTCAAGTTCAGTCATGTGATTCTCCTTTGATAATGGATATGCCAGAAGTGACTTATGCCACTTTTGTGTGCAAAAGTTTTAAGAGTCATTCTGTGATCCAGCCTCTTCCTTTTTTCACGCTACCATAATAACAATAAGCCTGTGGTACAGAGTTGTGGTCGTGCAGCTAGAGTGAAAAAGGTAATTTTGCTGTTTTAAGTCAGAGATTTGGGGATTGTTTATTATTGCAATATAACTGAATCTAAGCTGACTGCTGTAAGGGGTATCTCTAAGAAAGTACCTTACTTGTACTTCACTTTTTCCCATGGTCAACACCTAGGTTGAGGGCAGGTAGGCTGCAGGTAGATATATCACATAGCTTTGGGGGATCTGAACACAGTGGAAGAACTGTGTACTATTTCTAGAGTGAAGGCTAGGCATGGCTAGGTTCACAGAGATTCTCTGCTTTCTTTTTTTTTTTTTTTTGAGTTGGAGTTTTACTCCGTTGCCCAGGCTAGAGTACCATGGCACACTCACGGCCACCCCATCATCGGCCTGCTGGGCTCAGGCGAGCCTTCCGCCTCAGCCTTCCAAGTAGCCGGAACTACAGGCGTGCGCTACCATGCCCGGCTAATTTTTGATTTATTGTAGAGACAGGTCTCACCTAGCTGCCTGGACTGGTCTCGATCCTGCGGTCTCAGGCAATCCACTTGCCTTGGCACAGGAGCAGTTAAATGTCTATGTGGACATGCCTAAAGTGTCTATACCACAGGCCTGTGGCAGCCTGAGTGCCCTGTACCCAAGCCATATGCAGCAGTGTGTGTGTGTGTGTGTGTGTGTGTGTGTGTGTGTGTGTGTGTGTATGAGTGTGTGTGTGTGTGTGTGATGAGCATATACAAATGAAGGGATATGGATGGGAAAACCATTGGGATCAAAGATGTTGATGATGAGGAGGAGGAGGAAGCATTGACCACAATGGAGAATGAAGAAGCCTGAAATTTAATTTTTGCCATTTCAAAGAATAGATTTAAAATAAAAAGTAAGTTTATTTGTCAAAGAAGAAGCAGAAGTAAGGAAGAAGGAAGGGGAGGAGGAGGAGAAAAGAAAGAAAATTATATTGCTTATATACCTGATTTTGACCTATGAAAGGATGCCACTTCTCTATTCCTGTTGACCTTCACTTTGGCCTCATGATTTGCTTTGAACAACAAAATATGGACTTCTTGTTTCAATAATGTTGTAGTGCTATTTATTTGATATATATTTCCTTAGAAAGATGATATTACATTTAGAAGTCCCTGAATTAAAATGGTTTCAGATTCATTCACCCTCGCTAGGGTTTGGGAGTGACAAGCTATCCAATTTGGGAGTGACTAGCTACATGTGGTTGTTTAAATTTCATTTTAAATTAGATTAAATAAAATGAAGAATTCAGTTTCTCATTTCAAGTTCCCAAAAACCACATGTGTCTAGTGGCTGCCATATCCAATAGTGTAAAATAAAACATTTCATCATCACAGAGTTCTATTAGACAGTGCTGGTCTACAAAATAGAATTTGGAATACCATCTTGTATCACTTAACAACAGGTATACATTCTGAGAAATGAGTCATTAGATGATTTTGTCATTGTGTGAATATCAGAAAGGGTACTAACACAAACCTAGATGGTAGAGCCTACTATACACTTAGGCTGTATGGTATAGTCTATTGTTTCTAGGCTATAAACCTGTACAACATGTCATTGTACTGAATACTGCAGGCAATTGTAAAATACAATGGTAAATGTACCATACCTAAACATAGAAAAGATATAGAAGCTGGGCTCGGTGGCTCAACCTGTAATCCCGCGCCTTTTGGGAGGCTGAGGTGAGTGGATTGCCTGAGCCCACGGGTTCGAGACCCGCCTGGGCAGCGAGACCTCATCTCTACAATAAATCAAAAAATCAGCCGGGCGTGGTAGCGCATGCCTGTAATTCCGGCTACTCGGAAGGCTGAGGCGGAAGGATCGCCGGAGCCCAGCAGGTCGAGGCTGCGGTGGCCGGGAGCGGCCACTGCACTCCAGTCTGGGCGACAGAGTGAGACTCCAACTCAAAAAAAAAAAAAAGAAAAGATATAGTAATAATCCACTATAATATTATGGGACCACTGTCATGTAGGCAGTTCATTGTTGACTGAAGTGCCGTTAAATGGTACATGATTGTATAGGGTCCAGGAGAAGAAACCTGAATAGGAAGTCACAAGCTCCCTAAAATTATGGCCATTTTACTTAACTTCTCCAGGCTATTCTTTCTTCACCTACTTTATGGGGGGTTCACTGTACAAAGGGGACCAAGCAAATGAAATTTATTTATAAAAAATTATGTATTTTTACATGTTTAAACTTAAGTCACTTTCAAAGTACTCTCCGTTTTGTGCTATACACCTACTGAGATGCTGTTTCCATTGCTCAAAATAGTTCTTGAACGCGTCGATTTTAATGCTTTTTTGTGGTTCTGCTGTTTTTTGTTTCACTTCTTCCACGTCAGCAAAACATTTCCCTTTGAGGACATTTTTCATCTGGAGAAACAAGTAAAAAAAAAAGTCACTCAGGACAAGACTGGATGAATAGGGAGGGTGGAA